ATATCTTTTGAAGATATTTTATTTCAGGGGTATCTAAGAAAATATCTTTTGGAAGATATTTTCATTCTGGGGCAGGTTCGCAGTTTTCACTTTTTGGAAGGGTCATTGTGTAATTAATGAAAGTTATTGCTCAATGCCTTGTTTTGAGCCTGGATTCTCGTATGGAATTGATTTTCACATTTCATCGAGTCATGGACTCTTAGAATTTCCTCCTGGATGATGTTTTCCAGTTTCAGGGTTTCTGGCCCCGGTTTGCGCCAAACTTATTTTGGGCATAACTCTCTGCTCGGAACTTGATTTTTGACGTCATTTCTTCTATTGTTCATATTTCCTCATTTTGAATCTTTTTCGTTCATGGAGTTTTTCCGTTTGAGCATGTCTGCTCAAATTTCACTTTTTCGGACCCGGCAAGGGCCCGTTCGGGACATTTTTTTAGTTTTTCTATAAATAGGGGGTCTTTAGTGAAAAAATCAGATTTCACTCTTTCTCTCCCCTCTCTTGGCCGGATCTCATGGCAGCCATGGCTGCCATCTTCTCTCTCTTCTTTTGAGCTTCCTCCCCTTACTAAAAAGTGGTGATGCCTCTATGTTTATTGTTCCCCTCGGCGAGGCCTTCGATTCTAACTGATTGGAATCTCGTTTTGGCCATTTCTTGAGTTCGGGTTTGAAGTCAAGTTGTGTTTTTGATGGTGCTTCCTTGGGATTCATGTTCGTGGTGTTGTCCTCGACAAAACCTAGGAGTTTCGTCGGATTCGGAGCCGATTTATTTTGTTGGGGTTTGAGATTTCATCTCAAATGGAAGTAGGGAATGTTTTAGGATTTATTATGCATTGTATTGAGTGCTTTCCATGTTTATACAACCTATATGCATGCCTTGTATCAAATCTAGGAAATTTGAAATATTTAATTCTTTGTATAAGATTTAATTTTCATGATGATGAGAAATTTGGACTTGAATTGTGGCATGGTAGAAACTCTTGTTTTAATATGTTGGTTAACATATATTAAATTGGGATTAATTAAATAAGAATTGTTCTTTCTAATTAATATTTACCTTTTGTGAAAGATTAAAGTTTATGGCCGTACCTTGCATGAAATTGAGTTGTATTATGCTTCCAAATTGAGTTTTAGCATGTTTGTTAACATACTTTAATTTGAGAGCATTTGGTTGAGTTTGAAAATTTAGAGACTTTAATTAAAAGAATTAGTTAAAATCTATTTTTATGGTTTCATGGGCCAAATTAAGCTTTTGTGTGAATATATGTAATAACCATGATATGTCTTTTATCATATATTAAATTGAGGCCATTTGGAAATGATTTGAAATCTAGAGAGTTGAATTATTTTGATGTAATTAAATTTTATCTTGTTTATCCATTGATTCAATCATGTTTTAGAAGTTGCTTCTATTTTAAGAGCATGGATTTAGGTTTGTGATGTATTCGCTTGATTGTGTTATATGCATTGAAGGGCATTGTTGTTAAATTTATATTCATGAGAGTATGTTTCTAATATGAAAATATTGTTGGCTTGTGATTTCGTAGCATTATGCATATGAAATGCTTATTATGCACAATTGAGAGTTATATTGCTAACTTGTTACTATGTAGTAGTAATATGTATAAGTTATGAACTTATTTGGCTTATTTTGGAATCTTTGAACATTGTTAAGTTGAGATGGCTAGGGTTTGGCTCTAGTACGGGGACGTGAGTCCTCTAAGTCATTGAGATAGTGCGCACTTAGGGTGGTCTTCCCTGCGGATTAGTGCCCGAAATAACCATTAAGGTCTCGGCAGAATTCCGAGCGTGATGTCTAAGTCTTCCACTATTTGTTTTGGCATTCAATTCCAAGTTGACAATCATGTTTACCTTGTTGACTTGTGGTTTTGGCTATTGGCGATTTTGATATTGTTAAGTACATCCATACTAAATTGTTATATTTAGTTGATTACACATTTTTAGATTTCTAGTTGATAACCTAGAGAATCTATGTCTTGATGTGTGGTATTAGATATTCTAATTATACTAAATTGTTATATTTAAGTTGATGTTGCATTTTAGACTTCAAGTTGATAACCTTGAGAATCTATATGTTGTTACTTTGTGTAAGCATGCGCCTGTGTTGTTGCTTTGTGTAAGCATGACCCTATGTCGTTAAAGTTGCATGAATGAGGTGATTGATGCTATAAATGATTTTAGGTAGCTAAGATGCTCCCCGAGTCTCACCTTTGACATAGACGTTAGGTGGAATGAACCACAATAATTAAATCATGCAAACTTGTAAAACGTAGGTCGATGCATGCTCATTTCCTATGAGTAGCTTTATGTTATTCACTCCTACAATACTGGGGCATATTTCAGGTACAAGAGTTAAAGTTGAGACTCCCATTATGCTTGGATGACTTGTGGACTTGAAGATTTCCATTTTGTGAAGATTGGCTTGAAATACCTTTTTAGTCTTATTTGTCAAATGTGTATATTTGATTCTAAACTTGTAATGTGTGCCTAAGCACACTTTTGATTCTCATTTTTATGTATATGACATGAAGCCAGGGTCAAACTTCTTTTAGAATCACATGTATGTCATGGGTGTTGATTTTTGCCTTTAATGAGATTATATGAAAATCATGCGTTTTAATATGCTATTTTGCACCGGGGTGTGCATTGTGTATGAAACTCATCCATTAGCATTCATTAATCATGTATGAAGTGTGGCCAAGGGCCAAACGGCATTTTGAAACCATCTCATGATTTTAAATTCCAAGTTTTCGTTCCAAACTTCGTTTTTGGCATTTTGGCCGTTGGGGGGTCATATTTTGAATCGACCATATTTTTGAGCCATGGACCATTGTAGCACATCTTATTAGGTAAGTTACGTTTACGTGCATGGTCGTTTCCCGACAAAGCTTCTTCTTTGGTGAAATGAGCCTCCTACGGACTCATTTTTCAGTTTTGTTGCATATTCTGACCTAAGGGTATTTTGGGAATTTTCTTTGGGAAATAAATTCCGTTCTTCACATAGTCACTTAGAAAATGTGATTCTTGGGGGGTTTTCTTCTTCGTGTTTTTCTAGAAAATGCCATCTTGATATCGGAAATCAATCGCAAAGTTCAACTTTTGTTTTTCCATTAGCAACTTTTTGGACCATCTGGACCAGTTTTCTTGGGAGGGCATTTTGGGTATTTCATAGTGCGTATTTTTCGATTTCCTCACAACCCACATAAAAAACTCAATTTTGAGCGGGGTTTCTTCTTTGTGTTTTTCCAGAAAATGTTATCTAGGTCCTTAAATTTCCATTTTTTTCAAAAAAAACCCCTGCTGCCAGGATTTCTTGCTGCCCATTCTGCCTCTTTCACATGTAAACGGTTACGAGGAGTTTGGTAACCGGTTACATGTGCTTGGGCAGTGTTTTGGTCGAGTTTTTTGGTTTCCTAACTGGTTAGGAAGGCTTGGTAATCGGTTAGATGATCTAGGGTTTGCACTTTTTGACCGTTTTGCCCCTTCTCTTCCGTTAGCCGTATCTTTTTCATCCGGACTCCGAATCAAGTGATTCTTGAGTCTAAATTCATTAATTTTTTGTTGTTTTTCCAATGGTGTGCTCAGTGGCACCCACTTTTAAGCTGGAAATGACATTTTTGCTCCTAGGTTCATTCTTGTTCGCTTTTGAAACGTTGCTTCTGCATTTGATTCCTTTGGGTTCTGTGACCTCGTTGAGGGTCACATTGGCATTTTAGAGTCATGTTGTATCTCTAGAGACCGTTGTTTATCTTCTGCTTCCGCATTTCGGATCCGTTATCGGGTCATCTTTCGGTTCATCACTGACGCACCGGGTTGAAAAACTTGGGCCGTCACAATCAAATTCTCAATTAATTGGATATGCAGATGCCGGCTATCTCTCTGATCCACATAAAGTCTATTCACAAATAGGATATGTGTTTACCTGTGGCGGCACAGCTATATCATAGCGATCTATGAAACAGACAATGATTGCCACTTCTTCAAATCATTTTGAGATACTCGCAATTCACGAGGCAAGCAGGGAATGCTTTTGGTTGAGGTCAATGATCCAACATATTCGAATAACATGTGCTCTCTCATCAATAAAAGATAGGCCAATAGTATTATATGAAGATAATGTGGCATGCATTGCACAGATGAAAAGAAGGATATATTAAAAGTGACAGGACCAAGCACATCTCACCAAAATTATTTTATGCACATGAACTCCAGAAAATGGGTGATACTGATATTCAGAAGATACGTTCATGTGAAAATTTAGCAGATTTATTCACTAAAACGCTTCTAATTACAACATTCAAGAAGCTGGTGCACAACATTGGAATGCGTCAACTAAATGATCTTCAGGGTTGATCTAATGAGGGGGAGCAATTGATCGAAGAGGTATTGACATACTGTACTATTTTTCCTTCATCCAGGTTTTTGTCCCATTGGGTTTTCTTGGCAAGGTTTTAATGAGACAGTTTTAATTTATGCAATACCATTTTCAGATACACAAGAATATTATACTCTTTTCCCTTCGCTAGGGTTTTGTCCCACCGGGTTTTTTTTAACAAGATTTTAACGAGGCATATTCTTAATGTAATTTTGTGGATCCCAAAAGAAAGTGTTATGTATATATTTATAAATGTATAGGGTCCGTAAAATATGATCACATTGTGAAAGCTTACCAGAGAAGACATTTTGGAGGCGTACAGAGGAAGTCTTGGAGGCGTACAGAGGAAGCTAACATTTGAGCCTATAAAATGCTACGATTGTGGTGAACAATTTGAATGAAAATCCCTTTCTTTTCTATCACTCTCTCTCTCTCTCTAAGACAGTGTTATATATTATTCTTTCTCTATATATACATATATTTATTATAGTTACAAATTTTTTTTTTGAGGCCCTAGGAAGCTCCCCAAGCAGGGGCCTCGAACCGAACTATTATATACAATCCGTATTTTGACCGCGTGCTCCTTTTCTAGTTGGTAACAAATCAGAATTGGAATACAATTGTACTTGTGTTTGAAAAGGAACTTTGAGCTCAGATCTCGGGTCTCTCTTCTTAACACGAGAATCCAATGGTCACTGACTCACTGGGAAGTCCGTTTGGAGTTCCCATTTCATGCGCATCAGAGCGCATTATAGCAATCTGACCTCCATATTCCCTTTATAAATAGGCCGAGAAAGGCGGTAATTTCTTTTCATGATTTCAAAATCAAAAACATACCAATATCATCCATAGTTTCAGAAACCCTCCAACCCAAGCCCGCCCACAAATTTTCTCTCTCACACACGCACACACAAAACAACCCCCCACCCTCCTCTCTAAAGTTAGGTTAGTCTCTCTCCGGTGACTACTGAGTGTGAGAGCTTAGCAGTAGTGAATCGATCATGGACGAGAACGCTGTTCACGGGGTTGAAGAAGGTCAAGATGGTAAAATCATCCAGATTGCCTATACGGACGGGAAACGATGTCGTAAGGGTAAGGGCTGTTACGAAGAAAAAACTGATGATGATGATGATGATGATGATGATGAAGCAGTAGCAGGTCCTCGGAGGCGAGGTCGGAAGAAGAAGAATAAGGTAGAGAATCCAGATTCCTCTACTGCTGCCGAAAAGGGGAAAGGAAAGGCTCCTTCCACAGTGAAGAAGGAGGAGGGAAAGGGAGGGGAAAACGAAAAGTTGCAGGAAAATCAAGAAAAAACTGATGGTGACTTCCACGGGGGAAGAGTAGCATCAGGTCCTCGGAAGCGAGGTCGGAAAAGGAAGGGAGAGAATCGGGATTCCTCCACTGCCGAAGAGGGGAAAGGAAATGGTATTCTCTCATTGAAGGAGGATAAGGGCCAGGAAAACGAAATATTGCAGGAAAGTCAAGAAAAAACTGATGATTTTTGTGGGGGAAGTGTAGTATCGCTTCCGAGGAAGCGAGGAAGGAAAAAGAAGGGAGAGAATCGAAATTCCTCCACTGCCGAAGAGGGGAAAAGTATAGGCTTTGATGAAAAATTGCAGGAAGATCAAGAGAAAAATGACGATTTCCATGGGGAAAGAGTAGTACAAGCTCCTAGGAAGCGAGGAAGGAAAAAGAAGGTAGATAATCAAGATCCCTCCGCAGCCAAAGAGGGGAAAGGAAATGGTATTCTCTCCGTGAAGGAGGAAAAGGGAGAGAAAAGTATAGTCCATGAAAAATTGCAGGAAGATCAAGTGAAAAATGATGATTTCCATGGGGGGAGAGTAGCACTCGCTCCTCGGCAGCGAGGAAGGAAAAAGAAGGTAGATAATCAAGATCCCTCCGCAGCCAAAGAGGGGAAAGGAAATGGTATTCTTTCAGTGAAGGAGGAAAAGGATGGGGAAAAGGGGATTATGGGTGACAGAATAGCGGACTTCTTCGATTCTGAGGAGGACAAAGACGATAAGCCAAAGAGAAGAAGCGGTCAGAAGAGGAAGAAGAAGGTTCAGAAGAAGGAAAAGGGTGATTCTGTGATGGCAGCGAATGCCCCAGAAGGCAGTAAGAAGAGGAGGAGGAAGCCACAGTTGAAAGAGGTTAGGGTTTCTCCAGAAGGTGAAGACGAAGATTTGGTAGGAGGATTCATTAATGTGAAGGGGGAGGGAAATTACAATGGTTCAGATATAAGTAGAACCAAGGGTTATGCACTTAGAGCTTCAAAAAATGTCAAACAAGAGCCTGTATCGAAGCTGAAGGGTGCAAAGAAGAAGGATGAGAACGTAATACGAGTATTACTTGTTTGGTTGTTTTTACTTGTGGCTTCTCTGTTTTCTAACTTTTGTTTTTAACAGGGAAATGGAGTTGAGTCCAATATGTGTCACCAGTGCCAGAGGAATGATAAAGGCCGAGTTGTTCGATGCACAAAATGTAAGAGGAAGCGATATTGTGTCCCTTGCATGACTAGATGGTACGGAGGAGTTTTTTTAGCTCAAAATTTTTGTTGCTTCTTGTCCTTTTTCTTCACATTCTATGTTCTGGGTGCTAATTGGGCTGCATGTCAGGTCTTTCCTTTTTAGTTATTTGAGTTTGATATAAAACTATTTTGCAGTATTGAATTTGAGTTGCAATTGTTTTCTAATGAAGCTTTGCGCAGTTGTTATTGTTCCTTTTGTTTTTGATCCCGTGATGTGCATTCTTAATTTTGAAAGAGAACAGTTGCTTAACTTGCTTATGTTCCATTTACTGTTTCAAATTTTGTTTGTTAAGTTGAATCATGGAATCTACCAAAAAAAGGTTGGATCATGAATGTACAATGTTGAAAAATTGCTGCCTTCATCTACCTCAATGTCAAGTTGGTGAATTAGCCCTATAATTCAAATTTTACAAAGGAAAAAGTTCTGTTTGAGTAAGAAAAAGGTTATATCCTACCTGTCCTCTTTGTTAGTTCATCTCTGCCCTGGTTATTCATATGCAGGCTTGGAAAAAAAAAATCATATGCGGACGTGAGAGTTGTGAAGCATGTGTCTTGTCATTCAACATTTTAGCTTCACAGGCAGTTGTTGGTTTAGTTGTCTGTTATGCATTTGAACATGATTTTTTCTTTGTCTGTATGTTGCAATTGATGTTGTTATCATTATTTTTGTGTCACGATATGTAGGTACCCTAAGATGCCAGAGGAGGCTTTTGCTGATGCCTGCCCTGTTTGTCGCGAAAATTGCAATTGCAAATCATGTTTGCGTTTAGATGTACCACTTAAAGTCAGTTTCATTAACTCCTCTTTTTATGCTTTGTTGGCACATTTTTAAAGAGTCTTTTACATATAACATTTTATGTTCTTCACCATCTTCTGTAGGACCTAAAGAATTTAAAAACGGATGTCAACGATAATGATAAAGTTGAGCACTCCAAATATATTTTACAATTGCTTCTCCCAATTTTGAAGCAATTTAATCTGGAACGGATAATGGAGAAAGAGCTGGAGGCTAGCATACAAGGTAGTCCTTTTCAATGTTAATGTTGGGTAGCCTTCACACTTAACTTGGGATGCAGCTTTTTTATCATTTGCTTCCCAGTCTTTTAGTGTGTTCATGATAGGTAAAAAGTTTCATATAGCATATGGCATTGAAATTGTATTGAGGTGAATAAAAAAAGGTTCTAAAGTATTAAAGCTCTTTATATGAATATAATAATTGCCTATAAATTTTGCCTATGATATTAGATGCACTCTAAATTTTCCCTATGATATTAGATTTACTTGCTGTGCCATTACATCAGGAACCATGGCAGAAGTGGTTTCTTTCTTTCTTTCTTCACACACACACACACACATGTATATATTCCTTCCCCTTCTTTTTGGGAAAATAAAATGGACTCTTCAATAGGTGGAAGAGAGGTAAATTCTTGCATGACCAATCGCTACAAGCCCAAGAATTACCTTATCAAGTAACTGAATGGGATGTTTCAAATTAAATTTCTATGTATGAGAAGCATAGTACAAAGTTAGATTCAGCCACTGATATAGTTATATTTTTTTTGCCAATGGATGTATGGATGGCTAGGGTTATCGTTGTCAGAGATAATGCTGCAACAGGCAAAATGTTCTCTTAAGGAACGCATCTATTGGTAGGTTTTCTTGAATTATATCTTCTTTGTATGTCATTTTCTTAAAATGAAGGACTTCATATTATCACATGTTTTATGCAGCAACAATTGCAAAACTTCCATTGTTGACTTCCACAGAAGCTGTCCAAAATGTGCTTATGACCTATGCCTTACTTGTTGTCGGGAGTTCCGTGGTGGCAAATTGCAGGGAGGTGAGCCGGAAGTTATTATGCATTATATTGACAATGGGCCAGAGTACTTGCATGGTAAAGATTCTAAAAAAGAGAGAGAAACTTCAGTTGTACCAGTTGAAGATTGCTCTGTGGATCATGTTAAGTCAACATCTGAGCAGAGAGCCGAGGAATATGGTAGAATTCCTTCAGGTATACCTGTTGAAACTAGCTCGGTGGATCATGTTAAGTCAACATCTGATTGGAAAGCGGAAAATGGTAGAATTCCTTGTCCTCCAGAAAGCATGGGTGGTTGTGGTCACGGGATTCTAGAATTGAAGTGTATCTTCCCAGAAGATTGGCTTTCAGAATTGTTAGTTAAAGCAGAAGAAATAGCCACTACATACAAACTTAAGGATGTGCCTGAGATTCATGACCAACGGTGCTCCTGTTTCAACTCTATGGGCGAAATTGACATGGACAGCGGTGATTTACGGAAAGCAGCTTCTAGAGAAGATTCCAGTGACAACTATTTGTACTGTCCTACAGCCAAAGACATTGAACATGGGGATTTGAAGCATTTTCAGCGGCATTGGTTCAAAGGGGAACCTGTGATTGTCAATAATGTGCTTGAAACAACTTCTGGTTTGAGCTGGGAACCAATGGTTATGTGGCGTGCATTCCGTCAGATCAAGAATACCAAGCATTCTCTACATCTGGATGTAAATGCCATTAATTGCTTGGACTGGTGTGAGGTCAGTTTCAGTTTTCAACCTTTGCTGTTCAATAATGCTGAAAATTGATGACATGCAATTGATGTAGCAATGGACGGGTCTGGTCTATCATATTTTCTTTTTTGATTTCACGAGAATATAAATGAAAAGTACTTATAGAGGACGCTGGATCTATTATCAGTTCAAGTAGTTGTTATGTCAGTGCATTATTCGTTCCATACCACTACATGCATTCCAGTCTAGGATGCATAGCTAATTTTGCGATTCCAATTATATCATACTTTTCCCGTTATCTTAACTGTTTGGTTGATTTAAAGAAAATTTTGTAACTACCTAATTTTTATTGGAATGGATTTGTTTGTATGATACATTCTCAAACCATGTGGTTGTACTCAGGCTTTTTGAAAATTGTGCTGTATTTCTCTTTTCTCTATTTGATTATGTTGGACTGTGTTTGATTTAAATGTAATGTGCTTCTGTAATCAATAACAATTTGAATGGCTTAAGTGTACATCCGTCTTAATAGTATTCAAGTGTTTTTGATTGAATGATACTGGCCCCCATCATATTTAGAGAATGATTCATGCCATTTCGCATTTATTGGGAGATGGGGTGGAATGATGAAGCAATAGGAGGGGAACAATATGGGTATTGGGTAAAGTAATTATTTTCATTGGAGACCCTGAATATCAAGTCAAATTTGATTCATCATATGTGAGAAGGTTTACTTGGAGAAAATTGGGGTTTTGGAAAAGAGAACCTTCATTTATTTTTAAAGGTTTACCACATACTTTGAGTATGATTCTATATTTCGAATAGTTTCTTCATTTAGTCTATTCCTCACCTGATGCCTTCTGATTTTCTGTTATAGAAGTTATACTATTTTGGAAGCTGTCTGTTTTTTCCATTCTAAAAAGGTAAAACTTAATTCTTGTTGAACATCTTTTCTACAAGTAATTTTTTGTCAAAATTATTAATAGCACAATATATGAACTTCTCCTCAGAATGATTTTATAACCACTGTTCTTCTACCCTTAACCCAATCTACAATAAAAAATCATTCCATAGTTCTTTTGGAGCTCTCTCTCTATTAAGGTTCATGAGGGCTGTTGCCTGGTTCGTCTGTTTAATGGTTGAGAATCAGTGCTATTGGTGTGAGGTTGAGCCTTAGAACAGCTACTTTGTTAAATTTCAAACGTTAGGTCTGTCTTGAGTTCTTCCTTGGTAGTGTCCCCACTCTATTAATGTTCATGATTCTTTTTAAACTATAACCCACAATTGTTATGTAAAGGCTCTTGTAGGCTTCCTGATTTGTATTTCAGAACATGTTTCTGTACTTATCAGGTTTGATTTGAAATTGTGTTTGCCTGCTGGCTCTATGCATTTGATTGTAGTTGAATGTAAACAGAATCCGGGATTGATTGCTTTTATACTCCGGTGATTGATTTTATCTTTATCAATGGTCATAATTTTTATGTTTCTCCATTTCTTCCCATTTTTGTTGAATTTGCGTGTGCCTTTTCACGTATGCTTGTTATTTTTCAATTGACATTAAGAGAACTTTGTTGTTTGATGATTGATGTTTTTGACTATATTCTTGAGATAAAAATGCAGGTAGAAATTAATATCCACCAATTCTTTAAAGGGTATCTGGAGGGCCGATCTGACAGTGATGGATGGCCTCAGATTCTGAAGTTGAAAGACTGGCCCCCTTCTAGTTTTTTTGAGGAACGCCTGCCACGTCATGGTGCTGAGTTCATAAGTTGCTTGCCCTTCAAAGAATATACACATCCTCGGGAGGGCTTCCTAAATCTTGCTGTCAAATTACCTAAAAATTCTTTGAAGCCGGACTTGGGGCCAAAGACATATATTGCATATGGAATTGCTCAGGAGCTGGGACGTGGAGATTCTGTAACCAAGCTTCACTGTGATATGTCTGATGCGGTATGCTTCGATTTGTGGTCTTCTAATAGACTTTTGCATTATTCATCACTGGGTAATTTCTTTTAAGATTGCATTACTGCTTGGAACTTTGTTCCTGCCATCAGTTATGCAAATGTAATGTTGGGTTGTCTATTCATGGTTGTAAGAAACGCTAAGATGGTAACAACGCTGCCTTTTAACAATTCCATGCTCAAGCTCAGCCAATCATGGTCTTTAGAAGCATATAATGCACTTCCATCAAGACTAGACCATTTATGGGGGTTGTGCAGACATAAAGACATACACACACTTATGCAGTTAGAAATACGTGGATAAATATATATTTTGTCCAACTTACGAAATGATATATAAACCTTGCGTAGAAACGATCTCTCCTCCTCAAAGGGGAGGTTGAGTGTTTGAGCCACACTAGGGGCAATATTGTGTGCTAAGTAGCACGGATACGGACACAACACGGATACGATATGACACGGACACGCCGACACGTCAAATACTAAAAAGATAGGACATGGGTACAACGTGGACACGACTAATGTAAATTTAAATTACCATTTATATAATTTTATTAAATAAAATAATTGTAACATGTTTCATAATTTAGAGGAGAGAGTTATGTGTATATCCTAATATTATATATGTTGTTACTCTCCTACCTTGTCATTATAATTATAATTTTGTTTTACATAAAAAGTGTCGCCACATGTTATGACATGCATATAGTATTAATTTACTCTGAAACCAATAAGAGGTTAGACAGTTTGAACTGTATTAATATCATTTTCAAGGTTGTTATATGTTTGTACTATTTAAGACTTTGTATTGGAGTGCGTAGGATGCGTCGGCCAAGTGTCCGAAATGTGTTGGCCATATGTCCAAATTAATAAAAAAATATTTTCAAATTATGGACATGTCTATAAAGTATCAGCCACCTGTATATGTAAAACTCGTGTAGATATTTGTACCAATTTAATTTATGCCATTCTATTTGATGTTTTGTATTATATTTTGAATGTCCATATTAGGTCATCGGTTAATTGTATTGTATTAATAAAACATAAATTTGAATATCAGATAGAAAATTTGTAAGGTATTGGTAAAAAGCTTGCACAATGGTAGAAGTGCTAACATGAAAAATAGTAAAGAAGGTCTTGGAATTGGGGTTGTAATCTTATTGTCATTAATAAAATATGCAAGCCTGGTCAGTTCTTTGAAGGTACATATGAAAACGTGAACCTAGTTCAATATTTATTTTGATCACAAGTTTAAAGCTAACATCGACAGGCATTTAATCAACTTTGAGTTATTCCTTTAATATTGCAAATGATTTAGGTTATCCCGAATGGATTAGTTTTTATTCTGGTCCATTTTGTTATGGTGATCAGACAATTACTCAATCAATGGCCAGAAAAAAAAAATCTTCTGATCTTTAATTATAAGAATATTTCTCAATTATTTCTTTTGTTTGAATAAAATAATGATATATAAATCATAAACACCACTGGTAGTTGAGTTGGCATAGAGGTTTGGCCTCGTTAACTTGTAGAAGCATTAAGTCTTCACTATGGGATTACCTGATATAGGTGGTTTGGGGATGACTGAAGTATCCAAAGGGATTAGTTCTTTCCCTATAGGGGTGCGAACACCCTCTTTCACAAAAAAAGAAAAAAGAAAAAAGAAAAAAGAAAAAAAAAAAGGAATATGAAAAAGAAAGAATGCCATAATCTTGAGTTTGGCAGGAAACCTGATGCTTGATATTGTTATGACATTATTCCTTACTCCCTCTCGATCTGTGTTTATAATAATGATTGTTATGGGTCATAATGACTGTAAAGTAACAATAATGGCCTGATAATTTTTTTTTGTCACGAGCCATTATATCATGTGCTTCAGATTCACTACCGTAATGGACCATTTTGGCACTGTTACGGTTGTAATGGCCCCGTAATGACCCCTTTGGCCATTGAATTGAAAACTTCATTTTGCCACCTTTCTTCATATTCTTTCCTAAATTTTTGATTTCTTTTCTGATTTGTATAATACCACTTCTATAATACAAGATCCAGCTTTGAACACCTCTAAAACACAAGATCTATCTATCTAAGGTTACATTTCAAATTTAGGAGGTAAGTTATTTACATTTTTACAAATATTTACATTATATATATTTTGTGATTTAATAATGTAGAAGTTGTAAGTTGTAATTTTGTTATAGTTTATTATGTTTTAAAAATTTTAACCGTATTTTTTTCTTTGATGGATTTTTTTTATTCAATTACTTTAATTTTCTGTTTTATTATTTATTTATTTATTTTTATATATTTTGTGATTTAATAATGTAGAAGTTGTAAGTTGTAATTTTGTTATAGTTTATTATGTTATAAAAATTTTAACTGTATTTATTTTTCTCTGGTTTTTTTATTCAATTAATTTAATTTTCTGTTTTATTATTTTTATTTATCTATTGAATAAGTACATTTTATTTTCCATTAGTGATGCTTGATTCATTCTTTGAGACATTGAAATCATGCTTTTGTGATAAAAAGGTTAAATATCTTTTTGTGCTGGGGTTATGTGCTGCACTCCCTCCTTTCAATGTGTTTTAACAGTTTAAGTTTGGCTGAGTTTATACTCAATCTCATCATACTGTTTCAGATTCTTTATACTTCTCTTATTTTTTTTTTTTTCCTTTTCTTGAATTCATGAAGTTCTGATTTCTGTTGAAGGTGAATGTGTTGACACATACTGAAGCAGTGACGCCCACACCAGGCCAACTTCGTAGTATAAAAAAGTTCAAACAACAACACAATGCTCAGGATGAAATAGAATTCTTCAGAAACAGTCAGACATTGAGCCAAGTGGTTGAGAAGCATCCGCTATCCAAGGAGAATTGTATTACAGGTTCCTTCAAAATTCAGTCAGATACAAATGCTACTACTGAAGCATCAAGCCAGCATTTGGATGTTTGTGGGGCTCGAAGCATGCCTATGAATGTTAAACAACATATTGATGGTGTTGATGAGGAAAATGGTGGTACTTTTGCTGAAGCAACTATTGATATCACTGCTCAACAACATGGGGACAATGGTGTTTCTGGCTTGAAAAGGCGATATTTCACACAAAAATTGATGTTGGAAGAAAAGATGGGCATGAAAGAAGAAGCCAAAGAGATGAGAGAATTTGATGCCCAGACTGATGAGAACATGCTAAATGTTCGAGTTGAAGTGGAGAGAAGCTCACATAGTGTTGATAATGGAGAAAAAGTGAATGAAATTGCTGGATGTGGAGAAAGTGCAAATGGGAGTGCCCCTCTTGCTGGTGGGGATGAAGCACGTGATGGTAGTTGCAGAACCACAAGTAGTGAATTAAATGATGTTGTCTCAGAGAAACTGGTTGAAAAATCTGCTTCTGGTTTGCCATCTGAAGAGACAATTAGCAATGACGAGATTGAAGAAAGTAACAAGAGAAGTACAGATCCTCAAAGAAGAAAGAGAAAGAGGGGGACTTCGCATGCAGGCTCAATGGGAGGGGGCAGAAAGGATAATGATGGGATGGTAATTAGTTGCGAGCAAAATATTTCTGAATCTTCTGAGTCAAGTGAAGAGGCAAAAATGGATCGATATAAAACAGGTGAGAGTAGTGTCTCTGAAACTTCTGCAAATAGTTTAGAAGGGTTTGAACACATAGAGGGCGGTGCTGTCTGGGACATTTTCCGGAGAAAAGATGTTCCTAAATTGCAGGAATATCTTAGGAAACACTTCAGGGAATTCAGGCATATTTTTTGCTCTCCATTACAGCAGGTGATAACTTATCCAGTAATTTCTTTAAGTTGGCTTGATATTTTCCTTTTAAAGTATACTGTATACTAAAATATAGGCAAATAATTGGTGGACTCTAGCATGCTAAAGTTCTGCCTTGAGTCAACCTTCCTCTTTAATTTCTCTCCCTCTTTCCTGTTCTATCACTTTGTATAATTATTTACAATTTTAGTTTACAAGTTTACTTCTAAATTTTTGATAGTCCCAGGATAGTCTCTCTAACAGAAGGAGAAAGACAGTAATGGAAGAGAGAGAAACTTAAACTTCAGCCCTTCTCACTCTCTCTCTAAATAAAGTTGAATTGCTAAACCAGTAAATTTTGATAATTGTGGATCCAATTTGTCTACTATGAAAAACTTATTGTTTCATGGTCTGAATTACTGGCGATTATGCAGACATGCCCTTGTTTCTGGTTACTGTGCGGTTCATTGTTTGGATAAAGGTCTTGGAAATGGAAGCATCTCATTTTTTTTCCACAAAATCTGGACTCAAAATCATATTTTATAAATGGATCCATTGCATAAAATAAGATGAACAAAATTACGGACCATGCTTCTTACTCAAGTAAATATGTTCAAATACCATTTATTTGAATAAAGAAGTTTGTACTGCTCATAATCATTGAAATCACTTCAGATGCTCTTAAAATGACTTTTTGAATGAATTTGCTTAATTATTAAAAAAAAAAAAAATGACTTGTCAGTTTTAGTGTCCTTTGGTTCCTGAGTGTACCTATAAAGTTCTGGAATTGGAGATAATTATAGTTGGATTTGGACACATGATACAAACAATAGAAGTATCAAACAAGGTGACCTGGAGATAAATTCATAAATTTGTGGGCATGCTTAGTATCCTTTTGTGTCTCATGTTCTGGTGTATCATTCTTTATGACAAAATCTGTTCTTGATAGTGCCTGTTTGTTTTCATTCTCTTGATGCTACAGGTTGTTCACCCCATTCATGACCAAACCTTTTACTTGACTCTGGAGCACAAGAGAAGACTTAAGGAGGAATATGGTTAGTTTATCATATATCCAATGTGCATAGTTGGATTTAATTCTTGCTCATGGCTATATTGTTTTTGCATTGTGATGTAGGAATTGAACCATGGACTTTTGTGCAAAATTTGGGAGATGCAGTTTTTATACCTGCCGGTTGTCCTCATCAAGTTAGAAATTTGAAGGTACTATAGACTTTAGAAGTATCTGCTGCCCTATAGAAGACTAGATTTAAATTTGAAGTTAATTGAACAGGGGGTGTTGACATGAGAATAATTGGTAGGCGGTTCGTTACATTGTCACCGAGGTGATGATTTTTAGGTTTTAAGGACAATCCTAGATTGCATGTCACCTTTAATACATGCATGGCATTTGAACCTGTAAAACACTCTAGTTTTTGACTGGTTTGTTTAAGTTTCATGACTCGATGTTACAACAAGATTGCAACAATTTATTTCAGCTCCTATGGTAGTTCTTTGTAGAGGCATTTCTACATCTTTTGGTTCTTGTTCCTCACACTTAAGTCACATTCACTGCTATGGAGCCTATGATAATTCTTTATATATGTGCTACTTTGTACTTAGTGTGCCTCTCCATTTTTTTTGTCCTTAAGGTTTGTAAAATTTTATTAAAATAAAGAAGGAAACAGTTGGGGAATGATTCTGAAACGATCTAAAATGGCCCCGTTTCTGGTCTGAGGGGAGGAATATTGTCAGAGATCACTGGTGTGGTGCCTGCCAAATATACTCTCTGATGATCAAGTCAGTCAATATAATTACAGGAGATTAAATGAGATATAGTTGTACTGCTTGAGTCATACCTGTTTGGTAGGCTTGAGCTGCTTTTATAGCTGGTCCTCGAATTTGAATTCCCATCTCTATCCTTGCTCAGGCTCAGACTCTGCCCTTTGAATTTCAAATGGTGCAGCCTTTGCTTTTCCCTTAACTAAATTAACTACCTTATATTTAACCATGTTGACTGCCACTAGGGGTGCATGAAAGAACCTCACGGTTCCGGTTCCTAAAATGAGGAACCGTTGAGTTTCGATTCGGTTCCGGTTCCGGTCTCACAGTTCTGGTTCCAGAACCGAACCATAATATATATATATATATATATATAATATTTGATTATATTATTAGTAACTCTGAAGTCTAAGCCTAAAAAAAAATTTATTTTTAGGGCAAATCATTTCAGCGGCTCAGCCTCCCCAATCGCCTCCATCTCTATTCTCTCGACTTTGAACTTGCCCTCTCTCTCTCTGCAACTATAAGCTACAAAATCTACAAGAATCAGAACTCAGAAGTTCAAAACACATATATTTATTTATTGGTCCTTAGACCTTTTTTTTTGTATTAGGGACACGTTCCCCTTTTGAACGTTTTTCTAATATATCTTTACTAATTAAAAAAAAAAAAACACATATATTTCAGATCTGTCTGTAAGAATCAAAAGTTCAAAACCAATATCGGCATATCATTTCAGATTGTTCAAAAAATCAAAACCCATATCTTTCAGTTTCCATTGCCCGCTATTCCAGTTCGGGTTTGCAAGCTTCAACTGTTGTCTCTCAACTCTCAAGCTTGCCCCTCTCTCTCTCTGCAACTGCTAAACTTGCCCTCTCTCTCTCTGCAATTGTAAACTACAAAATCTACAAGAATCAGAAGTTCAAAACCCATATATTTTATATCTGTCTGCAAGAATCAAAAGTTCAAAACCTATATCGGCATATCATTTCAGATTGTTCAAAAAATCAAAACCCATATCTTTCAGTTTCCATCGCCCTCTGTTCCGGTTTCGTTTTTTAGGAACCGTTGTGAACGGTTCTGGTTCCGGTTCCGACCGGAACCGTAAGGAACCGAACCGTGTGCACCCCTAACTGCCACCTTGGGTTGCCTATATATCGCCTGTTGAACTGCCTTATCTTTTATCCCTATCAGAAACTGTGCAAACTAGATAATTCTTTGGGTTTTGTTTGATAGAATTGAAAATTAAGTACTCAAAAATTTAAGAATTGATTTTCAGGTGCTGAAACTAGTGTTATCAAGGGCCCAATTTGCACTAAGGTGCTAGGGAGCCTAGGTGCAAGGTGCAAGCCAAGGTGCACAGTTGAAAATTTAAATTATTTAGGGTAAAGTGCAAAAAACCCCCCGAATAATGTTTGAATTTGCAAATAACCCCCTTGAATTATATTTTGTACATAATACCCCCTGAACTATCACATTTTGTTGCAAACTACTCCAATGACTAAAATATTTTACATTGAATGAACATAATGCCCTTTCTTATTGAATTACAATTAAATATTTTTCTTATTGAAATAAATTATGAAAAAATTCATACTAATTTGATGACGTATTCTCCATTAAATTTGCATAAATTTACCTTTAATTTTTTAAATTAATTGTTTAAATAAAGTTCTCAAGTAGAAAAATTTGAAACAATTTAATTAATTTCTTAATTTTTCATGAATATATTGCATGAAAAAGAATGTATTTTTTATTTCAGTAATTTATTAATTTTTCATCAATATATTGTATGAAAAAGAAGGTATTTTTCTACGGTAAAAAAGTTTAAACTGAGTATAATAAATTTTATTATAAATAGTAAAATTTTAATAATAAGTTTAATCGTTTTAGAAAATGGTAGTTACAATTTTTTTTTTCCCTTTCCATTTTTATGATAAATTGAAACTTATAATAAAATTAGGGTAAATAGTATAATTAATATTTAGATAAGAGAAAAAAGATAATAAAAATAGTTTAATAAGAAATGACAAATTTAAACATTAAGGGTAAAATAGTCTTTTGTGGTGGGTGTGTCCTTAATTGCAATAAATTAATAGTTTAAGGGGGCAATTTGTGTTAGCTTTGTACTGGAAATGGGCTTTTTCGCTGTTTTATTTCTCAGCCCATTGGTTTATTCTTGTCTGAGGGTATGCTATCTGTTCTCCTATACTTCATATCTTATTTTATAATACAACTCCAATTATGAAAAAAAAAAATAGTCCAAGGGGGCAATTTTTAGTTTAGGGGCGTTATTTGCAAAAGGACGTTTTTTTTTTTGCACTTCACCAATTATTTATTAAAGCATTCATATTCCATATTAAAGGTGCAAGTGTTGTCAAAGATGAATTGCCTTAGGTGTGCGCCTATTGAACATACACAAAGTGTGGCAAAGGCATGCGTCACACCTGATTGAAACTTTTTTTCCCCCCTTGTTCAAATGTTATTGGTGCAGACCTTGTGTTATCAAAGGTCCAAGGCGCACCAAGGCTTTAGAGGTCCTTTAGAGCCTAGGCGCAAGGCGAGGCCACATAGTATATTTACTACAAGTAACTCAAATGCTAGCCGAGATTTGATGCCTAGAAACATGGGATGTGACTTACCATATTAGTCGAGATATGCTGACCTAGAATCATTGAATTTGACTTTATTTACGTGTTTGTCTGGGCATAGAGTATGTAATGATTTTATTTTGTTTTCTTGTAATATAAACATGTGCTCTTTTAGTATATAAATTCCTAAGCTATGAATGAGTGATTATTGTCGTTCAAACATTTAGATAATTGTGTTGTATTTCTTCTATCTTGTATTTATTCTTGGTATTAGAGCTACCACCTATCTATAACTCTAGCAAACCTTGTGGCTTGTGTGACAGCCTTAGGCAGTTAGCAATACCCTGTGACATTACCTGCATATGATCACGTGAATTGCTTTTTTGTGATTGAAATCAGGTATTTCTAAGTTTTACAAGTTCTTTTTTTTACTCTAGGGTTGGGTAAGTCAGTATAGTTGGTCTCCAATACCTAAGGGCTTGGGTAAATTCTTGTAAGTTTATAGAGTGTTTTTGAATATTGAGGAGGCTGTCCAGATATATGTAAGCGGGCAATGCTCCTAACAAAATTCTATACTGGGGCTTTTCGGGATTGGTCTGAAGGGAAATTGTTGATTGTTTATGGTCTGAAGAGAAACTTTAATTAGTTGATAGGATTTGTGTGTTTTTGGAGTTGTTTATTGTCGTGTGACAAAATATGGTACATTCAGTGTCCTCGATTGTTTATTCTCATGGCTCGAGTTTTGTGGGTGGTGGTGCCATTTTTCCCAGCATCGCAATCAAAGAATCCAAGACTTCAGATGACCACAATGAGGTTAGATGGTTCCAACTATTTGGTATTGGCACAATCAACTAGGATGTACATTGGAGGCAAAGGCAAGGTTGATAAATTATTGGTTATAAGAAAGAGCTAGCTGTGTCAGATAAGATATATCTCCTGTGATTTGTTGATACGCCATGGTTATGTGTTGGTTAGTCAATTTATTGCAACCAAACATAGCCGTTAGCTATATGTTCATGAAGACTGCTAAGAAGATTTGGAATTCATTACATCACACTTATTCTGAGTGGCAAAACAACACAAGGATTTTCCAATTGGGAAGAGATATCACTAGGATTACTCAGGGTGACTCGACAGTTTCCAGTTACATCGCCAGGCTTTGTTCCATTTGGGTGGAGATATCATATTATAATTACCTCCACTCTTGGAAGGATCCAGAAGATCCAAATTTTTATTTGGGGATTGTGGAGAGGAATTGAGTGTTTTAGTTTCTTGCCAGGTTGAATGATGATTTTGAGTATGCTCGTGTTAATCTGTTCAGCTTGTCTTCATTCCCTGCTTTTAAGGATGCATGTTCCTATATGTTGCCAGAGAGCCGTACTCATCCTTTATGTGGTGTTTTTGCTGACCGCTCTACTATGGCAGTTTGTGTTTTGAACACTTCAAGAACTGCACCATCCCAATCAATTCAGAGTGTTAGCACTCGCTTGGACAATAGTGTGGACGGCTTGACTATTGCGGGAAGTTCGGTCGCATCAAATCTCATTGTTATGCACTTTATTGACGTCCACCGCAACAGAAACAATAGTAGTCTTGATCCTTTGTGCATCCTGTTACCTAACCATACTTCTTGTCGAATTCTAACAACTCTGTCTTTCTATCATTTGCCACAAATTACCTTTACTCAAGCTGATTTAGACATTCAAACAATTGTTTAATCAGGTGGAGACATCATCCTTGCGAACCTCCCATAGTTGTTAAAGGCGCCGGAGGCGCAAGGCGCCACCTTGGCGCCTGGATTGTCTTAAGGCGAGGGTCTTCAGCAAGGCGCGCGCCTTTTAGGAAAAGGCT